GGCCTTGGAGTGTCGAAAGGCTTGTTCAAACTTCTCTTATATTTGGCCTAAAATTTGTGGTGCTTTCCATTCTACGCGTAATCCTGGCTCCTTAGTCGCAGTGAACGCTGGCATAGACGTGTAAAATTCCTGAAAATGGCATATTCCCGACTACTGCACCATAAAATGCTTTCAATTCGACGGTGCTTTTTTACAGGGATCGCACTTGAGGAAGGGCCAGATGCGTCATATGCACCTGAGTGGCTTACTGGATCTTTTCAAAGAACATGTTGTAAGTAATATCGTATCTCATGTTTGCGTATATCGTTACATTCCATTGTTTAGAAGTGCCCCCTCTCACTGCTCGAAACCGACGACATCCGCGTGTCTGTGCAGTTCGACTACAATATAAAGGTAGTTCTAGGTCTCATAGGTCTCATGCAAATGCTTAGCTGTCCTGAAGATACTGGGCAGAACCACGAGAACGATGAGTGAAGGATCGGTTTGTGGTGGCATTTTGCTGGTCCTCATCAAAGTTCAGAGAGTTTGCCTCAGTACTTTCCTGGCTACTTCATGTTTTTTTTTACATCGAACGCTTGCACCCATGCTCCCTCTAATTAAGTTTCCATCAACTGCATCAAAAGAAATTGACGATTCATGTGAATTCTTGGAGTGCTACAATCTTCCTTTTGGTTGTCGAGATGAACCAGTCAGGTATGTTTCTGAATCGAATCTTAGCTTGAGTACTTCTTGTGGATCGGTGACTGTAAGCGTACCGCACATGCAACCACAGTCGGCTTCCTCCCATTCACTTACACCACATATCCAGACTGTGGGGTGAGCGTGGCTGCGTACTTCATTTGGATAGCGCGTAGGATGCGTTTTTTGTGGGATATTTTCGTTTGAAGCGTCTGTTGTCCTGTCTGTTTTGGCCATAAAACTAGAAAGGTCCAATGAAAGCAAAGCCACTACCAGGTTAAAACGAGCGACGCAGCTATGCCGCCTCCATCGTTGCGGGGAATGGAGTTGTACCGTGGTGCCAAACCATTTCAACGTTCTTTTACGCGAATTCAGTCTGATTGCGTCTTGGCCAAACATGAAAGAGGAAATGATAAACGAGAACGAGGTCTGGGTTTGCTTTTTCAGTAAAGGTTGTTACCTAATTGTTTTATCCAATTTCAGTATCACAGTGACCTCGATCTTTTGAGTGCGTTTAATTGGTCCGGCTCTATTGATTTCCGCTATGCTGAAGGATTATTAGGTGGGAGTTGGATGAGTTGGGGAAGTTATTTTGTCAAAAAAGGTTTTTAGGCTACGTGCTTGAGCGGGTGATCGATCTTCAGAAATCGAAGGATTCTTCAGAAAATGCTTTCTCTCTCCTCGGAGTGCGACATTCTCCAAGTGGGTATCTATCTATATGATTCTTTTTCAGAGCATATGTTTTAATATGTTGGACCTAAAGTAATTGGGGGAGGGGACAAGAGTAGGACGTGCCCACTCTGCTCGTTTCGCGCTCTTCAAAGCCAAGGTTTTGAGGCTGCAAAAGCGTCGTAATCATGATAAAGCTCATCCAGCTTTCAGAAGCTTTTGGACAACTCACTGATGGTGGTCTCCAAAATATCAGATTTGCTGGTGCTCCAAATGTTTCCATAACGAATCCTGGTGGTTTACTACTCGATGAAATGTTGATGCCCATTGCAAAGGTAAGCATTTTCCGTATCATGGCCCTATCTTCTGAAACACTAAGCCTTGACTGTATCATCTTTTCCAGACGGTAGTCAAACGTTGCATGGATAGAATATTTGATGTGGCAGATAGTAGTGAGGAAACAGAGGTAAGAGGTAGCTTCAATCAAATTCTGAAGAGCACGCCCGGCAGCGCTATCAGGAGTAGCCCGGTAATTACAGAAGAGTGCATTCTTGACTGATAGTAGTTTGAATAGCTTTTCTTGTAGGAACCAAGTGCTCAAAGCCGACCTTCTTCACATACGACCGATTCAGGGATGGGTGACGTCGAACTATCAAACATTTATGTGAGTTCGCTGTGATTTTACTACGACTTTTTTCTCCTATTTTGTTCTTTAGTGTCTTGGAAGCGAAACAGCTGCCACGAACATGTCGGATAGGTTTTGTGAAATTCCATTCTCTGAGCTGCGATATGGGTCTGAGATGCTGTGACAGGGCGCTGTTTTCTACGCGCGCGGTTCGGAGGTCAAAGCTCAGCTCGGCTATGGCGCGCGGACCAACTAAGCGTTCCATTTCTCTGAGATAGGTGCGTTGGTACCATCCGACTGCCGCAAAAAGGAGCTTTATTAAAAGCCCCTACAAGACCAACGTAAGTCAACACCAGTGTGTGCGCAGGAAAAGTGTGCTGGACTCACCCTCTATGAGTGGAAATGAAAAGACAACGATATAAGACTCACATGAGGCCCTCATCTTTTTTGCTGTTAGTTCTCAGCGCCAATATCGATCGCGGCACCAGTTCGGTGCGCGGTCTAGCAAATAGGAGCGTGATAGGAGCGAGTGGCTTCCAACCGCCACTTCCCCACTTATAATCGTTCTTGAAGGAGCTCGCGTAGGTGGAAACATGCAGTATAAGTAGCTGGTGCCCTTCCAACGTGCAACAGAACTCGTGTGCTGTCAGCCGTCCAACTATCAAGGGAGGTCTTTCAAGGTCATGGCGCGCTTTTAAATGATTTGTTGGCTTGTTGTAGATCCGTTACAGGATCAAACAAAGAAATGGTTTCATTTTTGCTATGCGTTTCTGGGTAGGTCAAAAACTGAGGAAAAAGAATATGACAAGATTAGGCGGTTTTGAGCACCTTAATGAGCTCCATTCTTATTGTAACTTCGAATATGCATAGTTTATGGGTGCTCCTTTATTAGGCTTCGAAAATAGCTTTCATTAAAGGCAAAATGTTGTAGTCATGTGGTGGCACACTGTGCACTCACCGCCGCAACAGCGATGTTTTCATCATCGGTCCCTTCATAGCCACTGCTGGCAGCTCGGATGGCGCAGCGGATAGGAAGATGGACTCTGGATCGGACGACAATACGGCACTTGGTAGATCGAATCCTTCTCGTTGTGCCAGTTTTGCATTTTCCAGTTTCGCATACCTGTGTGTCGGGCAGTGGATAATAAGCCATGCTGCACGCATTTAAGCACAATTCTTCATTCGACAGCTGCAAAACCGAGCTCGGTTGTTGTGAAAGCCTGTTTCCCGGCTACGAAATCTAATACTACCATTTCCTCTTCGACTTGATGGACAAATCTAACAACAGTGGTAAAGTTCAACAAAACATCTAAAGCATATGCATCTACTGCACCAACTACACCTAACAAAAGCCAGAGAAGAACAATTGCTGCCCTCTTGACAAGGAATGACCAACATCTCCTTCGTTTTTTTTTTAAAAATCCCCCCAAAGTCCGTCGGAGTTGAAAACGGACCGGGATGCTCTTCGACATACCCAGCGGCCACCCATGCGTACGCTATGCATGAGCGAAATCGGGGTGCGGAAAATTGCCGGTACGTCTGGCTGATGACCTACACGGAAAGATTGTTGGCAACTTGTTAACAAGCCCAAGAAAGGATCTCACCTTCAAAATATTGTCCCTGCTATACGCGAAATCCGTCTGATGGTGTATCACGTGATCGTGAATTCGTCGGATGTACCGCTTGAACAAGCGGAAAAAGTAGACGTCGAGAGGCTGACAGAGGGAAGTCGCCCCTGCAGGAATGGTCCAGTCAAACGGAGCTCTTTGCCTGGAGTACTGTCCGAAGTAGCTAGTGTTCTTCGTGGTCGGTGAACCCAGCCCAACTATCCACAAGGAGAACAGTCAGTGGAGGTGAATTTGACCCTACCACACACTCCTTGACGAAAGTGGGGACCTGGGCCTTTGTCATAATGTGCGTCTTCCCAGCCATCACCAGCAGGTTGGGTGCCTGCCAATGTCCGCGCTGTGGAAAGACACCTCCCCTCTCGGGAAGAATGACGAATCAAGCTGTCCCCAACCCGCCTCGCGTACATGACAGGGCATTGGCGGTGTATAAGTAGCAAAATGCGTGGTGATAAGATAATTCGACAGACTGAACGCTCTTCACCAATCCATGTGATTACGGAGATCGAACGACGGCGACTAAGTGTTCTGAAGAGTTGCCACTTATGCCGTAAAATGAATGCTTGACTTGAAAAGGTGTTTTTTGTAATATCATTGCGCTCTTTTGAGGCTATCTCTTGTGTTTATTATCCAGTCTGATCTGCGTTTGCTAAATATGAGCAGTGACTAAGGAGGCTAACTTTCCTCATTTCCTCCCTGACTCTCTTGACGAAAACATCGGCGTCCGCTTCTACATCATCTTTAGAACGTAAGGTACCTGTGGTGACAAATCGCGTCACACCTTCTCGGAACCGTACAGCCATGCTTCTGCGGCACGAATTTTGCTACCATGATCTTTGACGCTTGAGTCATACAAGAAACAAGCATGATCTCCGACGTTTAACCGAACTCGGGACTGTAATGTCCAATGAATGTACGCCATAGGCCAAAGGAGGAAGCCGGTCTATAAATGGAGTCTAATGACGAAGCTGGTAGGAGTAGCATGATTCATGAAAAGTGTTCCGGAGAAACTCAAATCATTTTCAGCCATAGCCTGTTCAGTATAGCTGCCAGTCACGCTCTGCATCGAACCACGGCAGAGCCAGCCGTTGTGAAGCGTTTATTCTCTAAAGCTTCTCAAGTGACCTGAATAACACCAAATGGGAGTTTTGTACCGGCTATGCCAATGCCAATAGAAGTTCAAGAATACCCTCTTCTTGGTTCGATTCTCGAAGTATATTCATATAGTTCCCGTTTTTATCCATCGAAAGCGGTTCATCATGGCTGACAAAGGTCGGCTCCCTTTGTCCGTCTCACGGTAGAATTCAATGGCACGCTTGATCTGCGATATACGGAGGGTAATACTACAAGCCTATGGCACAGCTCACAACTAACCATATCCTCTGGAATAGGTTTTCCGTCGAAGAGGACGCTTTTTTGATCAGGGAGGACATCACTGCAACGGCTGCTATCGTCATCGTCATGAGGGGTCCAGTCGACCGCTGATTCTTCGTCGAAATGCACCTATGAACTGCCGTAATGGAAACGCTCAAAAATTCGTGATGCCTGCTATGTGACGTATATGTCCATATATTCGTTTGAACCTAACCTGGAGAGATTCCTCTTCCTCCTCACACTCGATGTTGCCATATGCTGCGCTCTGTAGGATGCCTTTGAAGGCGTCGGCGATCGCGATTTCCCTCCGCGTCGGAGAGGAAAAATCCGGAGTAAAGGAGGACAGAAGACGTCCGATCACTCTAGCAGGCGAGAAAGCCATATTCGGATGGAGCAATATCAGGATGGAGTATGTTTCCATCATCGCTCATATTGATGTGATCAACACTTCCAGTAGATCAAATAGATCTCCATAACCTTGGGTGGACGACACTGGATTCAACGAAGGAGATGTTGGCACCCCTTGTCAAGAAGGCATCAATTGTTCTTCTCTGGCTTTTGTTGGGTGTAGTTGGTGCAGTAGATGCATATGCTTTAGATGTTTTGTTGAACTTTACCACTGTTGTTAGATTTGTCCATCAATGAAGGGAAATGGTAGATATAGATTCTCGTTCCCGGAAACAGGCTTTCACACACAACCGAGCTGGTTTGCAGCGTGTCGAATGAAGAATGTGCCTTAAACTGGCGTGCACATGGCTTATTTCCACTGCCCGACACACAGGTATGCGAAACTGGAAAATGCAAAACTGGCACAACGAGAAGGATTCGATCTACCAAGTGCCGTATTGTCGTCCGATCCAGAGTCCATCTTCCTATCCGCTGCGCCATCCGAGCTGCCAGCAGTGGCTATGAAGGGACCGATGATGAAAACATCGCTGTTGCGGCGGTGAGTGCACAGTGTGCCACCACATGACTACAACATTTTGCCTTTAATGAAAGCTATTTTCGAAGCCTAATAAAGGAGCACCCATAAACTATGCATATTCGAAGTTACAATAAGAATGGAGCTCATTAAGGTGCTCAAAACCGCCTAATCTTGTCATATTCTTTTTCCTCAGTTTTTGACCTACCCAGAAACGCATAGCAAAAATGAAACCCATTTTTGTGATCCCTGTACGGACCTCTACAACAAGCAACAAATCATTTTCAAAAAGCGCGCCATGACCTGAAAGACCTCCCTTTGTTTAGTCGCAGCAAGGCACTTCCCTGCCGTTGGAGAAAATTTTGTCCTCCCCTCAAAACCTTATCCTGTGGTGCAACAACACCTCAAATCCGCTTCTGGTACGCAATCGAAAACATTTTTCTTGGAGACTAATAGGACCCCCTTAATCCTCACGCTGGGACTTTCCGACCTACAACGTCCCTGGTTACAGTTTGGCTGAATCCAGTCCACTCATTGTGTAGTGCACATTTGATACAACCATCTATTGAAGCTTTGAGTAATTCCTGGGATCTGCTGAACAAAATGTGATTCATATTCTCTTGAATGATCCTTTGAAGGCTACGCTTCGACAAAACAAATGGACCCCTTCTGACTCGTTAACGTGGCGCTTTGCTATGGCTTTCGCAAACGCTTCCATTGATCACGACTTTGGACCGTATGGATTCGCTCAAGTGTGGCTCGAGTTCGTGAAGCGGCTGCGCACCTACTACGATAGCACAATGGATTTGCCGGGGTTAGTGTAGGTGTAGCATCTTAGCTGTTTTCATTTTCTGAACACTACATCGCTCCATCAGGAGTAACCAGTGGAACTGATTCTGTCCCCTTCTTGCTCCCAATTTTGAAAATTTAGGTTGGAGAGTGTTACTCCAACCAAATTTATCTCATTGTCTTCTGCATCAGAAAATCCAAATGCTTCAATGCTGTATTTCTGCTAAAAGAAAAAGACATGAGTTATACGATAACACAAAAGATTTCGGTGCAGGTATGAGAGGCTGAGATTTATTTCTTCAGCGATCTGTCAAGATTCAGGATTTTTAGACGAGTTCTTCGATGCTCAATCTGATCAGTCTGATGCGGAATCATCAAGTGGTGACTCTAGAAAGAGCTCCTCAATGGATACTTCCAAAAACGTGAGACCATCATCGGTAACACTTTTCCTTTCAATGCATTTGAAACCTACATGGCTTCTAAAGATTGTGCACTGTAGAGTTATGAACCATCCGGACGTCTACATCCTTTTGGAGAGATGCGTTTGCTCAAACATAAGGATACGCCGCTATATGTTCCTATCACACAGGTCTGGTTCTCTAAAAACCCAGGGTTTTCTCTTCCTTGACGTGGATAGACGATTCAGGATCGTAGCCCAATGACGGAAGATATGGTTGAAGAATATACGAACTATCTTTCATCACTGGATGATGGAGAAGCGAGAATTCAAGCTCAACTAGACGTCCTTTGCAGTGACATGCAAGCATTCAAGGTGATTTCATGGTCTGAACGCGCTGATTGCTGTTTCAGGCTGGGTTCATACTGCTTCAGTGCTTCGAGCGTAGCGTGGCGCAGGGCACATCTACTTGGGAATTTTGGTCGAGTTCGTAACCCCACCCCCTTTTTTAGTGGGTTGATACGAACCCCCTGGTTCCCTCCATCGAGCTATCGAGGGGGGGGGGTGAACATCGCATAGCGGGAAAAACCGCGCGAAAAAGCGACCCCCTGTCTACTAGTTCTCAGATTCTCCTCAACACCATACTACTTTTTCCGGAATTTCCCGATTTTCCGAAAAATTTCTTTCTTTCCTTCTTTTTTTGCTTTTGCTGTCGAGCGGGGGAAGGAGTGGGAGGGGGGGGGGGTAGGCGGCATATGAAACACATGAAACATATGAATACACATGAAACAGCAAAAACCACGAAAAGCCAAGGACAATGCCTTTCAGAAGGGAAATACGACCTCCATCGCAACAAAAAGCAAATAAGACCATCCCCCTTTCAACGTCCCTGAAACAAGAAAAATCAACTATCAACATAAATTTTTCTCGGCCCAAACTTCTCTCCTAGCGACCAAATACGACCCCCCCCCCTCATGTTGAGGATCCAGCAACTGTGCCCTGTTTCAGCGGCTGCCCTAAAAGCAAAGAACTACCTGCCAAACGCCATAATGCTGGCATACGCTCAAAACGTGGACACAGCGTATCCAACGCACTCCTATTCCTTGTACTTCAGGCTGCGAATCCGAAAGCTTGCCTGGAGGATTTCATCCGGTGGCATTCACCCAAAGATTGGATGGAGGATGAAGGTTTCCATAGTTTTTTCGCATGCTTGCGATGGGTTTCTAGAGAAGCGTTTTTAAGAATGTCTATCGGAGAGAATGCAACTTCCTGACAATACATGGACAAAATGCTGGAACGAAGCTATGCCAATACCTGTGATCAATCAAGCACGTTTGTTCAATGAATCGAAGATAGCTGAAGAGGTAAAAAAAGATGAGTGCAGCTTTCACTATTTTTGTATTACCTAATATTCTCTCTAATAGATTCTGTCGCTACTGGAAAATGCAACCGTTCAACAGATGGTGACCCTGATACGGCCGGTATTGTTCGTTGCTGCAGTTGTGCAGCTGATTCAGAAAGGTAGTCCTTCTTTTCTTGTTGCTTCCGATCGAGTGAAAGGATAAAGTGTTTGCTGGCAAGACCGCTCAAATACTAATGACTCACTGCCCGCTAAAAGGAATAAATAGAGCGTTTGGTTACATTGGGTTGTGTTAACAATTGAATAGTATCATAAAATCATAAAGACCCCTCAGTGCGGTGTGATGTCAGTTGTCTACTCGTGTGCAAATAAAGCACTCTCTTCCGAAGTCTCAACACTGGCGATCAGGACTCAGAAGAACCCCTGCGGAAGAAGTTCAACGAGCAGCCGGTCAACTTGAAGACTTCAACATGCCAAGCAGCGTTCCAGCCTCCTCAAGAGAAGCACCCCAATGATGGCCCAGTCCTTGTGCGACCAGCAACAAAGCCACACTCATCCACAGAACTGCAGCCAGCTCAGAACAGTCCAGCAGCAAAAACCAAGCCAGCCCAGCACAACTCCATCAGCCAGCAAACCAGCAGCTCCAACAAGCAAATTCCCAGCAAGCAGAACCAGACATTCAACCAGCTCCTCAGCACTTCGGGACAAAGGGTAGCTCTGCACAACTTTTTGAGAAAACACACCTCTTCATTATGTTTATGGTGACGCTGAAATCGAGACCTACCCAACTCAAACTATGACGAAGCACGACCAAAAACACAAAACGTTCAAGATCGTGGTTCAAAGCGATAGACCTGTGAAATCGGACGACCGGAGAAGCTCACTTTTCGGGAAAACTAACAAACTCATATAGGATAACTGGACAAGGCCAACCTACAAAACGTATCCAACACTTTGCCGTGAATACCAACGGATATCAACCTGCCCACTACTGTCGAAACGCCTGCAAACCCAAAAACACTATCGGACCGAAGAAGACTCTCATTCCGCCCGGTCGAATTCGGATTTCCTGAAACATCCTTCTCCAATAATCGATCACATATACCCTTATCCTACCCTGCGATTCTCGGAAACACGATCAAGAAGAATTCGAGGAAGCAATGTACAGGATTCTGAACAGCGGGAATCAACTGCAAAAAAAAATCTCTTCTTGACGCTTCCCCCACCGACGCTTCCAATTCCAAAATCGCCGTCCTACGCTCTTAAATACAGATGAAACCGTCCTTAAAGGAATCGATCCTCTCCCAGTCTCGACGGATTTCATCGCAGTAATGTGAAACTTCCGTCACTTGCGTCAGAATAACCGAACATGGAGACAAAAAGATAAAGCGTCGACCGCGCTCACTCAAGTAAAGCCTTTAAACGGAAGCGACTGACCAAAAAACACGTCAAGTTTCATAAAGGCACCCCTTCTCCAAAGAAACGAGAAAGCAGCATGAAAACAGAACGGAGAAAGTCGTGTCTACAGAAGAAAAGAAGGAGCTCGATTCGCAAACGTCAGTATCCAAAATTCGTGCAAGAACTAGACGTCATGACAAAGATCAAGAACCCTACATGATAAGTCCGCCATTAATGCAGCTCACCATCACTACAGCTCGAAAACCCTGCGAGCATAACATAACAATAATCTCCGCAAAACATGATCAAAAATTGTATCCCGGATCTCACCCCGAGCATCTCACAGTTGAAGACAGCTTACTGTTCACAACCTATGAAGATCTTAGGATGCTTCGAAGCCGACTTTTCAATTTCGATCGACATCAGAGACCTATCTCTGGAAGAGGAAATTGTTACGTCACAGAAGCTACCGATCTCCTGGGACTCGAATGGTGTATCCAAATGCCAGACTACGTAGCCTCACAAGAAATACAGACTGTCCCGACAAAGCGACTGCGGCACCTCCGATAACGCATCGAAGCCAAACTTGTTACTGCCCAGAACACAGTTCCCTAATTTTCTCGCCAGGCCCTGGACCTGTATTAAAACAAGCTAATCTATTCCCTAAAACAGAAGCACAACACAGTGTACCGTCACAAAAGCGCCTGTACCATTCTCGCCCTCGTCAACCAGCTGTCAAAAGGCAAGAAAGCGTATCCTTATCCAAGAAGGTGTACTCACAGCAGTGGACCACTCAAACTGGGCAGCACCAATAGTGGTGGTGAAGAAAAGCAATGGCAGTATCCGATTATGTGCCGGCGGGAAAAAAAAAAAATTCTCCACCGTTAAATGAAAACGCCTTAATCACTTCATACACACTACCCGTTTACCAAACAACGAGAAGTCTTTTACAACCTCAACGTTGAGCAGCTTCTTCACAGATCGACCTGCAGATGCCTACTCCAATCGAAGTGGACGATGAGTCAAAGGAACTACTCACGATCAACACACATCGTGGTCTTTTCCGCTATAATCGCCTACCGTTTGGAGTGAAATCAGCTCCAGGCATATTCCAACAGATTATCGATTCCATATAGTCAAGGATCATGGGTCCATCTTACTTACGAAAACAAACGTTACATGAGACGTATCAACTATATGAGCCACGCCAAACCTGGAAGCACTTCTCCAACGAATAGAGCTATACGGATTCCGAGTACGAGAAGAAAAATGCCATTTCATGATGTCACAGATCAAGTATCTTGGAAACACATCTGATGCCAAATGTCGACGCCCAATCCCGAATAAGATTCGCCTATCTCACTCGAAACTGCAGAGCCGAAGGATATCGCACCAATCCGTTCGTTTCCTCGAAACTGCTCGAACCTAATCTACGCCGAACATCTCATTCCCTGAAATATCAACTTCGCGCTCCCCCTCTCGACGCCCCTTCGAAGAACCAGACACTCCACGTCTCAACATGGCCAACCCGAATGTCAAACGCCTTAGACGAAGCCAAAGCAATTTGCGTTCCTCACACCTCTCGCTCACTGACAACACTTACCCAAACCTGATCTCATTGTTGCAGCAGACCCTTCGACTACCTCGCATCTGGAGCATAATCCTGCACCCGCTCTCGCAGATGCTCAGAGAAAGCAATACATCACGCCCCCCCGCAAAACTCTCACAGAATCAAGAAGAAATATAGTCACCGAATCCGCAGACAGAAGGACTTGCATGGTCTCGCACGTTCGCAAATTTACACTCGCTATCTAGCTGGACGCCCTTCCACTCTCCTCACAGACCATCACCCCGCTTGTCTCTTATACTTGGCCAAGCTAAAAAGCGCTTGCCATCATACCACTAGCCAACTATCGAACTACTCGCGCCTGCGTCATTAATACTTCGTGGTTAATTCAAGAATGAATACGAAACAAACCCACAAGATTTCGGAACAAAGCCGATGCATTGTCAACGACTGACTTGCCCACCAATAAGGAGCAAACCGAACGATATCATTGCATTGCCAAACCCTCAAATATCTGAAATTCCGAATGCAAGCGTGAAAGCACCAGACTCCAATAGCATAATCAGCTCGCAGAAATAAAGCTCGCCAGACAATACGCATGCAAGAACGTAATCCAGGTACGGTCGTGAAACAAATACCAACAGAAACTCTCGCCGCAAGATCAAATCTACTTCCAGTCTCCGCCATCCTCTGCCTCGCTCTCAACGACTCCGCCTTCTTTACAACAACTCTGTAATTCCCGCGAAGCCTCAAGGACCGGTCCTAGAACACTCTTGCACATTGAAACGGACACCCGAATGTCAAGCAATGAAAGAGCCTAGCCCGCACATCATATGTCTAGCGGACAAAATATCACACAAGAACATAGAAGACAACTTATCCGAACCTGCCCAGCAGCTGTCCAACAAGCGAAAAAGCCACAGTCAAGACACAGCTATTCCCTGGGCCATACAACAAACCATGTCACTTATTGCAATGTATCTCAGACCAATGATTGAAAGAATGTTCCTCATTATAGTGAGCCTATCAAAAATTGCCATAATGGAAATCCAGGAAATTTTCAAACGCACAAGCAAGCTACAATACGGACAACTAAACAGAGTTCACCCAATGGAATCCGAAACTAGTTCGGACAATGGAAGCCAATTCACTTCATTGGAATTCGAGAACTTCTGCAAAACGAATGGAATCGTCCATATACGCAGTCCCCCGTACCATCCACAATCGAATGGACAAGTCGAAGATTCGATCGGACACTTTCAAACTTGACTGGAAAGCGAAAGGAACCGAACAGCAACCAGAGGCCATAGAAAATTTTTGCTATCCTACCGCAGCACACCATGCTCATCTTCACCCGAAGAACGATCACCGGCAGAGAACTTCCTAGGACATCGTCTCCGAACGCCTCTCAACCTTCTAATCGACACCTAGAACCATACCCGATGCTCGCAACGAGCAACATGAAAATTCATTCAAAGACACCATGGAAGCCCGCATGGAAATCGTCAATCCAAAGACCCGTGTGTAAAGATTTTCAAAATAGGCAAAAGAAAATTGATACCAGGAAATATCCTCAACTGCCGCGGGGAATCAAATACAACTCCTCGTGAAAAGCGGTGAATGTCGTCATGCCAATCAACTACGTCCACGCATGGCCGCCACCAGAGCAGACATCACTGGAAAGCTACGACTTATCACCTGAACCGGCACATCGTGCGAAACCGTCGTTCCAGAATCCAGTGACTTCGGCAACACCAGATGCAACAATTAAATGTTCAGATTCAGAAGCTTCATCACGGAAGAAAACCACACCGCTCAAAGAACGCCCACAACGCAACCGCCGACCGCCGAGCCGACTCCAAGTCAAGCCACATCAGAAGACATACATGTAACAAAAGTACCCATAATACGATGAATTTTTTAATTGTGAAAAAAAAAAACAATCCTCTCATCACATTGCATCTAGGGGGAGTTCGTTGGCAGACCCGCTCAGATACAATGATACTCACTGCCCAGAAGATAAATGAGTCTGTTGTTTATCATTGGTTGTTAACAGTGATAGTTCGATAATAGTCTATATAAAACCCTCACGCCGGTGGATTCAAGTTGTCTACTCGTGGCAGAATTAAAGCACATCTCTCCAGTCTCAACATAAACTCCGCAGCTATGCTCGCTCCATTTGATGTTCGATGCCTCCCAATGTGTCTGGAACCATCTGAAATCAATCGCAGGAAGGACAC